GCTAAAGAATAACCATGAATCTTCGAAACACCTCCTTACATGGATGAACCTAGAAGGTATCATACTGAGTGAAATTAGTCAATCACAAAAGGACAAATATTGTTATGAGACTGCTATGTAAAAACTGAAGGAAAGTTTTTCATGCTTAAAGAAACATTCTTTGATGGTTTCTGGGGTGTGAAGAGAGGGTGGGGGTGGGATCACAGGGAAGGGAAAGTAATTTATTGGCTAGAGGGTAGACACATATTAACTCAGGTGACAGGAAAGGTAATAAGCAAGAAGAGGGAGGTTAACAGAAGAATGGTGAAGACAAGTGAAGACACAAGGAGGAATGCAAGGCTTCAAGGAGAGAGTGGTAAATATTGTTGTATACACAACCCACAACAACAGTGTTTTAAGGTAGATACATGGATAGATACACAGGCTGAACAGGTATGGGAGGGAGAGTGGGAGTATACATAAAGTATATATCAAGGTTTGACAGGATATTTGTCCCTAGGTATTTACCTTTGCTGCAAACACACCTTTGAATGTGGTGGAGCATATAGAGAGCAAAATGATGAAAACTTCTTAGACATCACCAAACACCTTGAGACAATGAGTTGCTGGGTCAGGACCATAATCTCAGGGAACACCAGGGTCAACTGGCATTACATAGTCCACAAAGATAATGTTCTATACTCTGCTTTGGTGAATAACAACTGGGATCTTAAAAGTTCATGAGTGGACATCTAAGGTACAACTACTGGTATGTCCATGTTTGGAAGAAAGAAGAGTGATGAAAATTAAAGACACTTGCAATCAGTCCATTTGAATAATGGAACATGTGAACATGAGTTACCACAACTCTAAGACCACAAGTAGCTGGTACCTGGTTACCACTACCAACTGTTCTCAAAGGGATCACATTAGAAGGTTCCAGATACACTGGGAGACAGTGAGAAACAAAACTCAAAATTATAAAAAAGGCTAGGCTTACTGGTCATAAAAAGACTAGAGGAACCCAAAACTATGGCCCTCAGCCACCCTTCAGGTCTGGACTAGAGTTCACCCTCTTGGCCCAATGTTCAATCAAGCAGTCAACAGCAATATAACAACACTAGCAAGGTATACTCACCGTGGAATGATCATCCACTCAAGATCAAAAGGGCAACATTTACCTAAGGGAAAAGCTACAAAGGGATAGGAAGTAGGGTGGAATGGAAGTAGGTACCACAGGGAGGAAATGGGATAAAAGTTGTTACATGGAAGGAATTGCAAGCACTGAGATGAAACCAAGTATATCATTTGTGGAATGTGAAACTGATTATCTGCTTTGTAAACCTTCACTCAATTCACAATAATAAATTTCAAAATTTTAAAAAGTGATTGCTTCTAGAGAGATGGGGGAGAATTATAGAGCAACGGTCATTTGGGTATTTTTTAAATAAGTCTTTTAACACTGACTTTTTCATTTATGTACTTGTACTCTTCAATAAAAATACTCTTTAAAAAATATGTACCTCTTTCATCAAGATAACTTTATTTTGTATTACTCTAAAGATAAAAACTACTATAGCCAGCTAATGCTACCTCCTGTCACCCACATGCAATGTGTTTGAGTTAGCGTCTATATTTTCAGTCAAGGGTTCACAAGGAATTAGATTCTGAATCTCTCTTCACTATTCTGTTTTACTGTTTGAAATCTCTTCCTCTTTTTAACCAATTTCTGTCCTTCCAATCTCTCTTCACTATTATCAATTTTGTTGTTAGAAATCTCTTCCTCTTTTTAATCAATTTCTGTCCTTCCTTTAATACCTGTCTCAAATATGTGTTTTAGCTTAGTATAACTGTAATTGTTGAGGTATAGTAAAGTTGAAAATAAATCAAGAGAGGAAAGCCAGAACACATAAAGATTTATTATATTCACAGTTCCTGATGTTTGTAGGCCATATGGGGAAAACACAGTTGTAGCTACAAGAAAGATGAAGCAGGGAGAGGAACAAGTTTACTATGGGTTTTGAAGAAAATGTGACTTTCATGTCTTAGATCTTGGGGTGTTTTCCAAAGGAGAAACCAAAGGGACCTCTTAGATGTAGGGATAGCAGGCATGGGTAGAGAAGGAATATTTGGTGTGGGTTTTTAAGCATTACATCACAGTAGCTAGAAAATATGGTTAATTCAATGCATCATCTCTACAATACTTTCTTGTGTTTATTACACCCATCCTGAATCTCCTAGGTACTTGTATATTTTCTTTGTACATATTAGTTGTGTCAGTTATTGTTACTACTTTTTAAATTTGACCACATAATCCCAATGTGTGTTTGGGTCTCTTCTGATTGCTCAACAAAGTTGCAGAATCCTGAGTACAGGACCAATGTCTTCTGTTTTTGTTTTGTTTTGCTTTGCTTTGCTTTGCTTTGCTTTGCTTTGCTTTGCTTTGCTTTGCTTTGCTTTTGGCAGGAAGGGTAAACTGAATATTACATACTACAGTACTTAATAGATATTTATTAACTTGGACTCACTGATATGACATCCAATTGTGTATAGTTTTTTCTTTATACTTGTGAGTAAACCCATGCACATGAATTTCCAGTAGTCAGATAATTTGTTTGTTCATTAACAGTGTGTGAACCCTTACCAACTCCCACAAGATCCGGTTGGCCGCCCAGTCATGCACCAGTCAGCCATAAAACACACTACAGGGGAAGCTGTCTTCTGTGATGACATGCCCTCCATTGCCCAGGAACTCTTTCTGGCTCCAGTCACCAGCACCAGAGCGCATGCAAAAATCATGTAAGGAAATTGAAGTTTTCCGTTCATTCCTAGACAGTCCTATAGGCCTGAAATACATTCAATGTTTTATATTCAAATTGAAAGTTTGTTGTTGTTAAATGCTGTCAGGTCGGTTCAGACTCATAGCAGCCCTGTATAGGATTTTCGAAGCTATAAATCTTGGTGGGAGCAGAAAGCCTCACCTTTCTCCCGAAGAACTGCTGGTGGGCTCAAGCCACTGGCCTTGGAGTTCACAGTCCAGTGCAAATCCTACAAAGCCATCATGGTCTTAGCGATTTTAATGTTGTTGTTGTTAAGTTCCAACTCATAGCAACCCTGTGTAGACTTTCCGAGGAGTGGCTGGTGAGTTTGAACCGCCGATCTTGCAGTTTAAATCAACCTTGAGGTCGAGTGCTTATCCTATGACACCACACCAGGACTCCAGCAATTTAAACAACCACCTTCACATTTCCCTCCTAGGTCAATTGACACTTCACAAGCCCTGGCGATTCCAGGTGTTGTTGATGTGATAACAGCAGAGGATGTTCCGGGAGATAATAACCATCTGGGAGAGATTCTCTATGCACAGGATAAGGTGTGTAGTTTGTGTTTAGCTTATTATTCAGATACTTTCATGGAAATGCCAAAATGAGGATTAGTTTTGATTATGACATCCATGCACTCACATTACAAGGACTCAATAATTCTACTTCAGTAGTTCTTAATCTCGCTATTGAATAATGTGCTTCTTAGCGATTCTGATAACAACTATGAACGCTCTCAGGGGCAGCTTCTAAAATGTCATGTAAGTCATGGAAACAATATTTAGCATGAACCTGTTGCAGTTACGTCGATTCCAATTCATAAAGACCCGATAGGCACACTATAGACAGAGCACAATGTCCCCATGGTTCCAAAGTTGAGTCTTTCTAGAAGCAGACAGAGTGACTGGTGGGTTCAAACTGCCAACTTTTTTGTTTTCAGCCTAGCACTTAACCACTATGCCACCAGGGCTCCTGGGCTGAGGAATAAAACCCATACCATAGCTGTTGAGTTGATTCTGACTACAAGGGTAGGACAGAGCAGATCTCCCCTATCCGGTTTCCAAGGCTGTAATCTTACAAACACAAACTGCCACATCTTTCTCCCACAGAGTGGCAGGCAGTTTCCAATCACTGACCTTTCAAGCAGTAGCCCAGTGCTTAACCACTGAACCACCAGGGCCTTTAATAGATAGCATAAAATACTAAAAGAACTTGACAGAATTTCAGGATGACTGGATCACAGTGTATGAAATGGGAATGGTAAGAAATACAACTGAAAATGACCAGACGCCAGGTAAATAAAGACAAATCATTAAATTCTACACCTATCTTGTGTCTCCCTTCCACATTCCACTCAAGCTACTGTTTCATATTTGTTCTCAACAGTAGAGAATAATCTTTCATTTAATTTCAAAAGCGATGGAACTCACTAAAGTAGGTGAATGTAAGACTATGGGAACAGTGATTCCTTTTTGTCAATTTCTGTGTTGGTTTTTCTTCAGGTCATTTGCGTGGGTCAGATTGTCTGTACTGTGGCTGCCGATACCTATGCTCATGCAAAAGAGGCAGCTCAAAAAGTGAAGATTGCTTATGAGGACATAGAACCAAGGATTATAACAATTGAGGTAATCAGACCACTTGGTGTCTTCTAGAATGCCTGGGAAGGGGAGAACAGAATTCAACTCATTGAGTCATAACTTAGTGTAATTTGGGTTCCATCTATAGCTTATTGTTATCCTGATAGTTTTAAAGTAAAGCCTCTAGCTTTACTTGATGAACTTCAAAGCAGAACACTGAGGCTTCTCCTGCCTAGAGTCCCCTTTCTCCCCTCTAGTGCTTCTTAAGGAATCCAAGAATACAGACTAGCAGACACCAGAGAACTGTTCTTATGAAGTAAGCTACAAAATCTAGAGTACTATGAAACTCAGAAGAATCATAATATTTGCTCTGTTACAACTGTCAGGGCCTCTGTCTCCCTTCCCACTTACTGCTTAAAGGCCAGCTCTGCAGCTAGAGCTTGGATTCATTCATATTCTGACTCCATAGCCTCTTGATAGATATAAAAGCTTTGATAGGTACTGGAACTGTCAGTGTCTTTACCTTTAAGTTGGGAATCATAAAAATACCTGTGTCCAAAACCCTATATAGGGTTTCCAAGACTGTAAATCTTTACAGGAGCAGAAAGTCTCATCTTAGGGAGCAGCTTGTGAGTTTGAACTCTTGACTTTGTGGTTAACAGTTGTATGTTTATCCTATAGTACCATCAGGGCTCCTTTTATATCCCTAGTTCTTAGCAAAGTGCTGATTCCTTAATCAGTATTCAACAAATGTGTGTTGACTGATGGGGGGATAGATGGATAAAGGGATACATAAGTAATACGAAACCCCACCAGAGGACAGAGTCTTGAGCATCCTCTTGATTTCCCTCTGTCTTCCCAGAAGTTGCCAAGATCAAGTCTTTAAAATGTCCCTTAGTTCTGACCCTTTCTTTCCATTCTTGCTTTCACCCTTATGCCACCTGTCCTTACCATCTTATGATCACATTTACTCAATAACAACTGAAAGAGGTGTTAGTCTTCCATTTCTTCCCAGGAAGAAGGAATAGGCAGACCATTTCTGAGGGATTGGTCCCTGAATACCTTGTGAATAGCAGTGGAACATTGTCTTGTATAGTGCTAGAAGATGGACCCTTCCCTTTTGTTCCCTTTTGGTCACTCAAAATACAACTGGGGAAGAGTTGCCTCCTCAAGGCAGAATTGACTTTATGACACAGATGGAGCAGAGCCTTTGGGCATGACTCAAAATGAGAAGAAACCATTGAAAGCATCTATTAATAATCAGACTATGAAATTTACAAAGTGTGAATCTAGGAAAACTGGAAGTCGTCAAAAATAAAATGAAACACATAAAGATAGGTGTCCTAGACATTAGTGAGCTGATATTGGCCATTTTGAACAATGACAAATGGGAATGATAAATTAAAGAGGAATGGTGAATTTTTATCAAAAGAACATTTTAAGATCTGTCTTAAAGTACAATGCTGTCTGTGATAAGATAGCATCTATAAATCTGCAAGACCAGTTAATAAGACTATTATTCAAATTCAAATACCAACCACTAAAGCCAATGAGACTTCATTCTTCTTGGATCAACTATCAACACTCACGGAAGCAGCAGTCAAGAGATCAAACGACATATTACATTAAGCAAATCTGCTGCACAAGACCTTTCTAAAATGAATAAGGAAGATCATAGAAGAATTGATGCATTTGAGTTATGGTGTTGGAGGAGAATATTTCAAGTGCCGTGGGCTGCCAAAAGAACCAATAGACGCGTTTTGGAAGAAGTGCAACCACAGTACTCCTTAGAGGCCAAGATGACCAAACTTTGTCTCTCATACTTTGGACATACTGTCAGGAGGGACCAGTCACTGGAGAAGGATATCATGTTTGGTAAGGTGGAGGGTCAGAGGAAAAGACCCCCAATGAGATGGATTGGCCACGTGGCAGCATTGATGGACTCAAGCGTGGCAAGAATAGTGAGGTTGGTCCAGGATTGGACAGTGTTTCATTCTGCTGTGCATAATGTCGCTATGGGTCGGTACTGACTCAATGGCACCTAACAACAACAACAACAACAAAGCCAATGATGAAGAAATTGAAGAATTATGCCAATTTCTTCAGTCTGAAATTGATCAAGCATGTAATCAAGATGTACTGATAATTACTGCTAACTGGAATCCAAAAGTTGGAAACAGAGGAAAGATCAGTAACGGGCAAATATGGCCTTGGTGATAGAAACAAAGCTGGAGATCGCATGATAGAATTTTGGAAGACCAATGATTTATTTATTACAAATAACCTTTTTTCAACAATAGAAACAATGGCTTTACACATGAACCTAGCCAGATGGAATATACGAGAATCAAATTGAGTACATTTGTAGGGAAAGATGATAGAAAAGCTCAATATCATCAGCCAAAACAAGACCAGGGACTGACTGTGGAACAGAACATCAATTGCTTCTATGCAAGTTTCAGTTGAAGCTTAAGAAAATGAAAACAAGTCCACACGAGCAAAAATATGTCCTTGAGTATGTTGTTGTTGTTGTTAAATGCTATCAAGTCAGTTCCAACTCATAGCAACTCAGTGTAGGATTTCCAAGAAACACCTGGTAGATTTGAACTGCCAACATTGTTGTTCACAGTTCCATTCCTTGAATATAGCCTACAAGAATTTAGAAACTATTTCAAGAACAGATTTGAGGTATTGAACACTGATGACTGAAGTCCAGAGGAGTTGTAAGATGATATCAAGAAAATCATATATGAAGAAATCAAAAGATATTTTAAAAGGAGAGAAAGAAAAGACCAAAGTGGATGTCAGAAAAGACTTTGAAAGTTGCTCTTGAATGTAAAGTATTTAAAATAAATGGAAGAAATGATGAAGTAAAAGAATTGAACAGAAAAATTCAAAGGGCAGCTCAAGAATACAAATTATTATAATTAGATATGTAAAAACCTAGAGTTAGAAAACTAAAAGAAACGAATACAAGGCATTTCTCAGACTGAAAGAACTGAAAAAAAAAAAAAATTCAAATCTTGACTTGAAATATAGAAGGATTCTTCGGGCAAAATATTGAATGGTGCAGGAACCATCAAAAGGAGATGAAAGGAATACACAGAGTAACTGTACCAAAAAGAATTGGTCGACATTCAATTATTTCAAAAAGTTTTATATGGGGAAAAAAAAAAAAAAAAGACGAAGTAGCATATGATCAAGAGTCGATGGTATTTAAGGCAGAAGTCCAAGCTGCATTGAAGGCATTGGTGTAAAACAACACTCCAGAAATTGAGGAAATACTAATTGAAATGTTTCAACAAACTGATACAGTCAATTTTCTGAACAGAAAATTTCAAAGAGCAGTTTAAGAAGACAGAGTCAAATATTATAATGAAATGTGCAAAGATCAGCAGTTAGAAAACCCAAAGGGAAGCACACATGCAGCATTTCTCAAGTGGAAAAAACTGAAGAAAATTTTCAAACCTCAGGTTGCAATATTAAAGATTCTATGATGAAAATGGGGGAATGCAGTGACTCTGTAGGATAAGTACTGGAGTATGAACTGCAAGGTTAGTGGTTCAAGCCCACCAACTGCTTTGCAGGAGAAAGATGAGGCTTCCTACTCCTGCAGAAATTTACAGCCCTGGAAAGCCTACATAGGGTTACTATGAGTTGGAATCAACTTGATGGCATGTAATAACAACAACAAATGGGCAAATGGAACACAGTACCTCTGTAAGATAAGCACTGGACTATGAACCACAATGTCAGTGGTTCAAGCCTACCAACCGATCCTCAGGAACCTTATACAGGGTCACTATGAATCAGAACCAACTCAATGGCACACGACAACAAAAATGGGCAAAATATTGAATGACACTGGGAACATCAAAATAAGATGGAAAGAATACACAGAGTCACTGTACCAAAAAGAACTGGTCAATGTTCAATCATTTCCAGAGGTACCAGATGATCAAAAACGGATGGTATTAAAAGAAGTTCAAACTGTACTGAACATATTGGTGAAAAACAAGGCTCCAAGAATTGACAGAATACAAATTGAAATCTTTCATCAAACTGATGAAGCATTGGAGATACTCACTTATTTATGCCAAGAGATTTGGAAGACAGCTACCTGGCCAACTGATTGAAAGAGATCCATCCATATTTGTGTTTTCCAAATAAAGGTGAACCAAGAGAATTCTGAAATCATAAAACAATATCAATAGTAACATATGCAGGTAAATTTTTGCTGAAGATATTTTTTAAATGGTTGCAGTTGTATATCAACAAGGGCCTGCCAGAAATTCAAGCCGGATTCAGGAGAGGATGTGGAACAAGGGATATTGCTGATGTCAGATGTTACTATTACTGTTCAGTGCCGTCAAGTCAGTTCTGACCCATAGCGACTCTGTATACAGTTTCCTAGGAATGGCTGGTGAGTTTGAACCATGGACCTTTGCCGTTCAAACCAATTTTGAATCTTGGCCAAAAGCAGAGAACACCAGAAACATGTTTACTTGTGCTTTATTAAATATGCAAAGGCTCAATAGAATGGATCATAACAAACTATGGATAACATCCGAAAGAATGGATATTCCAGAACACTTAATTGTTTTCATGAGGAACCTGTATGTAGACCAAGAAGCATTCATTTGAATAGAACAAGGGGTACTAAACAGTTTAAAATCAGGAAAGGTGTGTGCCCGAGTTATATCCTTTTACCATATTTATTCAATCTGTATTCTGAGCCAATAATCTGAGGAGCTGGAATATATGAAAAAGAATGTGGCATCAGGAGTGGAGGAAGACTCATTAACAACCTGCAATATGTAGATGGCATAACCTTGCTTGGGGACTTGAAGTAATTGCTGATGAAGATCAAAGACTACACCCTTCAGTATGGATAGTACCTCAATGTAAAGAAAACCAAAATTCTCACAACTTTACCAATAAATAACACCATAATAAATGGAGAAAAGATTGAAGTTGTCAAAGATTTAAATTTACTTGAATCTATAATCAAAATATCAAACAAAATGTTACATTAGGTAAATCCGCTGCAAAAGACCTCTTTTTTCAAGAGCAAAGATGTCAGTTTTTGCTCTCCCAAGCCATGGTATTTTCAGTCAAAATACCTGCCCCAAGCCATGGTATTTTCAGTCACCTCATATGCATGTGAAACTTGGGCAATGAATAAGGGAAACCATAAAAGAATAGATGTATTTGAGTTATGGTGTTGGAAGAGAATATTCAAAGTACCATGGACTGCCAGAAATATAAACAAATGTACCTTGGAAGAAAGAAGTACAACCAGAATGCTTCTTAGAAGCAAGCGTAGGGGACTTCATCTTTAGTACTTTGGACATATTATCAGAAGGGACCAGTCCCTGGAGGAAGACATATTCTTGGGAAAGTGGAGGGTCAGCAAAAAAAAAGTCGTAGACCTCCAACAAGATGTAGGTTGACACATGCAGTAACAATGGGCTCAAGCAAAACAACTGTGACGATGGCACAGAACCAGATAGCGTTTCCTTCTGTTATGCATACGGTCCCTAGGAGTTGGAACCAGCTCTGGAGCACCTTACAACAACAACCCTTAGGTAAGGCCCAAACTCCTTCCTATGGAATTAGAGGTCTTTCATAGTCTAGCTTCAATCCTCTTCCCCAAGCTTACTTAAAGAAAACCTGCATTCCAGCCAGCCTGGCCTCATCCTCATTTTGGCCCCCAGCTTGGTTTTATTCTCAAGCATTTGCTTTATGAGGTGCCCTTGACTTCAAATGTCATTCTGCCTCTTCCCTAACTATCCTAGTCCGAACCAGTTCTAGGCTCAGCTCAGGTTACCTATACACAGGCACCCCTAAGCATTCCAGGTCCCACTGGCCTCTCCTCTTGATCTACCATTACTTGTACAAGGGGACATCAAAAAGTTTGTGAAGAAATTCCATTATCTTTTCATTACATTTTTCCACAAACGTTTTAAAATTGCCTTGTATTATTGTTGACACCCCACACACAAACACATACAAATTAACAACTTAATAGCAAACTGCTTCAGATCATCATCATTTATCTCTCAAGAGTGAGACCATGCTTTATATGTCCTTGTATCCCCCTCTGCTTCTCCTAAGTCCTGAACAAAACTCTTGCATCACTAATGTGTGTGCTCTGACTCTTCACACTGGTCTGATCGTCTTTGTTTGAAGGTCTGATGGAGCAGGACGGTGAGATTGATGGGAAACCAATGGCTTATTTACTGTAGTCAGTTATTCTTACTTGCTGTTAATTCTAATTCAAGACTTATTAGAAAACAATAAAAATCATTGATTCACCTTTTCTTGCTTGTTTTATTGGTTTTTCCACCACAGCAAGCCCTACAGCACAATTCGTTTCTTTCTGTTGAGAAAAAAATTGAGCAAGGAAATGTAGAACTAGCCTTCAGTAACGTGGATCAAATCATTGAAGGTAAGTGGTCTTATGAGAGAAAAGCGACGTTTTTAAGGAAAAAGACTCTCATTTCAGTTGTCTGGCTCTAAAAATACTATAACACTAAGGCAGTGCTTCTTAACCCTGGTTTAAAATTTTTTTTTAATATAACATGTTGTTGTTGTTAAGTGCCTACCCATAGCGACCCTGTGTAGGGTTTCAGAGAAGCAGTTGGTGAGCTTGAACCATCGACCATAACATACAGGTAGTAAAATACAAGGATCCCTGGTAGTGAAATGCATTACATGTTGGACTACTAACCACAAGGTCAGCAGTTTGATTCCATCAGCCACTCCTCAGGACAAAGATGAGGCTTTCTGCTCCCATAAAGATTTGTAACTTCAGAAACCCAATACAGGGTCAGTATGAGTCAGAATCAACTCAACAGTATACCACTGCCACACCACCATCATAATAAATCCACAAAGCAAAAGTACATTACTTGATTAATGTTTACATAAATGTAGCGTTGCTTTCCTGTCATGGTGACCCTATGTGTTACAGACTAGAAGTGTTCCATAAGCTTATGTAATTAGTACCCACATTAAGGATCAGAACAATTGTGTTCTCAGAAAGCTTCTTTTGTGCCCCCTTTGAGTCATTAATCCTCTCAAAGATGGTTGTTGTTGTTAAGTGCTGTCGAGTCAGTTCTGACTCATAGCGACCCTCTACCCTGTATATTGACCTATTCATCTTACTTTTATCACTGTGAGTCAGTTTCACCTGTTTTTGAAAGTAGACTAACATAGCATTACTTCTTTTGTGCCTATGTCTC